CCCTTCCCGTCCTCACCTTCTGCTTGGTGCTGAGAGGCTGTGACTTCAATTTTTCATCCTTGCTCTTGGAAATCCTCAGGAACTGTTTGAGGTCTCCCTAAGGGAAGAGCCAAGCATCCCGATCAGGTCAGAGCCCAGCTGTTGGCTCTGAAGTATCAAACCAAGCAGGTATTCACCGAGTTCCTCCCAGGCAGGCCCCGGGAAGCCCAGACCTGAATGTCCACCTCTGCCTGGCCCCTAGCCTGTGGAGACAACCTAGGGAGAAAGTGGGAGTTTAAAAACATACACAGATGTTGGGGTCAGCAGGTGGCATGGTGGTTAAAGGTGCTGGACTCCCAGATGGTCGACCATGGTTCAAGTCCTGGACCTGGCACCTTGCTTTCTCACTATCCCTCTCTCTCTGTCTCTCTCTCTCATCTGCTCAAATGGAATAATATAATAATAAATAAATAAATAATTATAGAAAAAAATACACAGATGCTGGGGCCAGCAGGTGGCATGGTAGTTAGGGTGCTGGATCCCACATGGCTCATTGTGGGTTGAGTCTTGGACCCAGCAGCTTGAAACTCACATTGGGTGCATGTGAATGCATGCTCAAAATCCCAAGAAGAAAATGGAGGAGGAACTGCGGTGTTGCCATCCCCTGGGGGGTGGTTTCTCATTTTCCTCTTTCTCCAGGGAGTGCACATACCATGTGGAAAAAACCTAAAACACACACACGCCTCCTGGCAGCTCTCTCAGAAAGAGAATGGTCATTCCTACTCTCAGGAAAGCCCCCGGATAGGCTGACAAAGCCCCTGCCTCAGGAAGCCAAGAGGAAAACACAGCCCCCTACCCTCTGTCCTGGCAGACCCCCAAGAGGAAAGCCCAGGTCCCGGGGGTTTGTAACCTAGTAGAAGTGAGCAGGGAGGACACCGGCAGTGAGAACCTGCAGACAGCACGCAGAAGTCCTGCTCAATGGAGGGGCGGGGACACCACTGCCTTCCTGCTCCAGATCTGCAGATTCTCACATGGCCTTCGAGGACCTAGCAGGTCAGGGCCTAGCGTAGCTGGGGAAAACGAGGGGCGGCTCTGGGGATGACAAGTAGGGTGGAGAGAAGAAGCCTGCTGGTTGGTGCTGGGTGTCAGGGAGGACAGAAGGGAAGCAGAGTCTGATCAGTTCATGCTCAAGTGATGAAAAGCGCTGGCGGAAGGGTGGCAAACCAGACTTAGGGAAGACGACCGAGAAGACATCCACTAAGTGCACACAGGAGAAGCCCCAGAACTTAGGGCCGGCTCCAGAGACAGCTGGGAAAGATGGGGTGGTGAGAGAGGAAAGGCAGGTGTCCGAGAGCCAGGAGGGCAAGAGGCTGAGCGCCTCCGGTGGCAAGCACGCGGGTGGAGGTCGCGGCTGAGACCACACAAGGTTTCGTGGCACCCCGCCGACCCTGTGCCAGGACACTGTCCCATTCCAGGGCCCCAGGTTCCTGCCAGCAGCATACCAGGTCCACATACTCCAGCACCATGTAGTGGGGCTCGGCCTCCCCGCCGGGCCCCCACCACGTTGGCATGGTTCAGCTTCCCGAACATCTCGAACTCCCTGCGGAAGTCCAGCTGCTGCTGCTCGTCCTTGCTCTGCAGGCTCTTCACGAGCACCAGGATCTCCGCCACGCCCTCCTCCAGGCCCTGCGCCTTCGCCAGGAACACCTCCCCGAACTCACTCTTCCCTGTGGGTACAGGCCTGGGTCAGCCCGTGCCTTCACTTAAGCCTTTGTGTACCCACCTGCCACTAGCCCCAGTTCTGCTGGGTGACCCTCCTCTGTTCCTGCACTTCAGTGTCTCCAACAGTAAAATAAAGGGGTTAGGTTAATATTGGCATTTCCGGTTTTTGTAATAATTATTTAATTTATTATTATTATTTTCATTTGATCAGAGAGAGAGAAGAGAAATGAGAAAGCAAGCCACCAGGTCTGGGCCTCGAACCACAGCCAGCCATGTGGGAATGCAGCGTCTCAACCAACATGCCACCTGACACCCCCAATATTTGCATTTTCCAGTGAAAATGGCTTGTCTGAGAATTCCTGGTGGCTCATGATAAGCATGTCTCAGTAGCGACATGCTTTAATGTACACTAGGAAAAGAACCCAAACTAGCACAAACCTCTATTTCTCACATTTTTCCCTCGGACAAATCTACATTAAATTATAAAAAGGAGAAAGGTGGGCCAGGAGCCCACAAAGTGGACCATGGTTTAAATCTCGACTCTGGTGGGTTGAAAATTACACTAGGCACATGTAGGTATGTTTCCCAAATCCCAACAGGATTGTGTGTGGGGGGGAACAGCACACAGATGGCATAATGGCTGTGTCGCTGGACTCCCATGTAGTCGACCGTGGCTCAAGTCCTGGACCCAGTGGCTTAAACTCACACCGGGCACATGTATGGGGGGGTCCAAGATCCCGAGAGGAGAATGGAGGAGAAGGGATTGCAGCGTGGCCATACCCCCTTGGGGGTGATTTCTCACTTTCTGTCTCTCTCTCTCCATCTTTCTGGCAAGCGTATTTGCCCTATAGCAAAAACCTCTCCAAAAAAAGGGGGGTATGCCAGATGGTGGCAGAGCAGTGGACACTCAGACTGACCCCCATGGGCAAGTTTCAGATTCACACGCAGACCTCACTGAACACACTGGGCAAATGCATGTCCAGGATGCAGGAATGGGTGGAGCTGGGGTGGATCACCATGTGAAGACCTTGTTGGGGGAACTGCTCTCTTGCACTTGCTCATGGACAAAAGAAATAAATTCTAGGGGCCAGCAGGTGGTATGGTGGTTGGGGCACTGGACTCCCACACCACTAACTGCGGCTCAAGCCCCGAACCTGGAGGCTTGCTTTCTCACTTTATCTCTCTCTGTGTGTCTCTTCCTAGTGGTGCCCTAGGGCAAATTTTAAAAATTATAACAACGAAAAATAAAATGAAATGATTCTTTAAAAAAAATTCTAGGGGCTGGCAGGTGTCATGACAGTTAAGGACGCTGGACTCTCACATGGCCGACCACAGTTCAAGACCCAGACCTGGTGGCTTGCTTTTTCTCTCTCTTTCTCTCATTCTGTTCCTCTCTGATCAAAATAAGTAAAATAAAATAAAATAATTTTTAAAAAATTCTTAAATTACACAATTTTAGAAAGGAGTCAATTTAAAGAAAATACTAAACACACATTACAGGTAGTACACAGGAATGACAAAAGCTGTGTGGGGCGCTGTAAGCGGCACTGGGGACAGCTCTTTACCTGCGTGTCCCTCCATCGCTAACACTCTAGGCTCCGGGGACTTCAGAACCATAGCTCATAGCCCAGCCTCAGGACAGAACAGGTGACCTGTAGCTGAGCAGAGGCAGCTGTCGTCAAGGCAACATACCCAGTGTGGTGATGGGCTGCAGACTGGCACGTGGGAAGTGCATCTTGTCACTTGTGCTGTGGCGTTTGTTGGTGGCTGCAGGGCCGGAACCAAGGCTGGTCAAGGCCACTTCCTCTTGGATCTCTGCTGAGGGCTGCCCATTCTGCAAAGGTCCACCTGGGAAGGGGGATGGGGGACGCCAGGATGACGCCTGACACTCTGGCCATCACAGGCACCCCCATTCTCTCCCAGCCTCCCGCTCCCGCCAAGCTGGGTCCATCCATGGTGTTCCATGTGAAAGGGGCAGCCTAGGTGATGAACTGATGGGCCGGGGCAGGGGGTGGCCACCCCTGAGGCTGTGACCACTGACTGACACAGATGAAATAACAGATGCAGAAGTCTAGCCTGATCACTACTCCCCGAACACCACATCTGCACAGGGGTTTAGTTTCCATGGGGCTCCTACATGCAAAGCCCTAAATCGGCACAAAGGGAAAGTTACAACGAGGGACACCCACCCTGCTTCTGAGTGCCTGGGCTGACAGGAGAGACCCCAGGAAGGCCCCCAGGAAGCTCCCCTTAGAGGGGGCAAAAGGAGGGAAGTGGACAGACAGGATGTCCTGGGGGGTAACTCCCAGACTAGTGGGGAGAGGCGAGGTGTGCACAGAAACGTGAATACACTAATCGTTTCTGTGGGTTAGTGCCAGGGGAGAAGGAGGCAGGGAGACATGACACAGGTCCAAGAGGCTCCGACAGGAAATCAAATCATGTTGGCAGACGCCAAGGCCCTGGTAATCACCAGCGGGAGGCTTCCTGCCAGAGGGGGGCAGCCCCATCTCCCAGACCCAGGACCCGCACCCTCTTCCTGCGATGTTGCAGTTCTCCTCGGTGCCGCGGGGAGGCGCCGAGCACCGCACCCCGGCACGCCTCCCTCCGCAGGGCCCCTCACCGTTGAGGCACTCCATTTCTGGCTCCTCGCCCTCAGGTTGCTTCTGCAACCTCTTAGCTTTGCAGCGCTTCTTGCAGTAGAACATGAGGCCCAGCACCGCGATGATGTAGGCCACCGCCGCGCCCACGGACAGCCCGATGGTCTGGATCATCTTGTAGGGGGGTGGGCTGCCTGGGCCCTCCGACTCCTCTGGCATGGGCTTGTCTGGGAGACACACACGGGTCTGGGCAGGGGCCACGGAAGCACACCGAGTCCTCCTGCTGTCTTAACCTCTCCCCACCCATGTCCAGATGTCCCTTGTCCCCTGGTATGTCCCTCTGTATCTGTGGGGAGGATGGTGGTAGGGAGGAGTGAGGTCTGACTCTAGGAAGTCCCGTGGGTTTTCAAGCCCCGACAATAAGAGTAGTGTCTGCATTTAACCTATGCACGTCTTCCCATACACCTTACATCATTTCTGGCTTCTTTAGAATGACAAAAACAGTGCCTACAGAGCACTCCATCTGCTTGGATTCAGTGCAGTACTCCACGCAGTAAATTCAAGTTTTGCTTTGTAGAATTTCTCAGTTTCTTTTTTTCCCCTGAATATTTTGGTCCATGATTATTTAAATCCCGAACATAGAACCCACAGATGTGGAGGGCCGGCTGTACAGACACTTGACAGCCTAACCAAGGCAGGGAGACCCAGGGAGGTCACCACCTTCACTGACACAGCCCGCAGGTCCTCCTGCACCAGTGATGTCGTGAGGAAGGTGCAGAGCAGGTGAGGCCGGTGATTTCCAAGCGGTCTGTGCTTTGGAACTCGAGATGGGAACACATAAACACCACACCTGCCAGGGCAGCACTGCCATCCCACGCTATTGGTTAACACGCTTCCTAAGTGACATCCAGGCCCTGGAGAGCAGGACTTGGAACTTCTGGTTTAGAATCCCAGTCATTGCCCAGCACAGAGCAGGTTCAATACACTCTACAGAAGTTCTTCTAGTCTAGGGCTTTTAAACCGTCCCCGGAGGGACCAGCAGATGGTGTAATGGTTACCTCACTGGACTCCCACAGAGTCAACTACAGTCCAAGTCCTGGATCCAGCAGCTTAAACCTCATGTCAGGTGTGTGTGCATGTGTACCCAAAATTCCGAGAGAAGGGATTGCAGCAGGGCCATCCTCCCAAGGGGTCATTTCTCTCTTTCTGTCTCTGTCTCTCTCTGTCAAACACATGTGCCCTATAGCAAAAATCTCTCTAAAAAAAAAATGAAGAGGGAAACCAGCAGTTAGTGTAATGGCTATGTCGCTGGACTCCCACGTAGTCGACCGCGGTTCGCGTCCCAGACCTGGTGGCTTAAAACTCACGCCGGGCACGTGTGCATGCATGCCCAAGATCCCGAGAGGAGAATGGAGGAGAAGGGATTGCAGCGTGACCATCCCCCCTGGGGGGTGATTTCTCGCTTTCTGTCTCTATGTCTGTGTCTGTCTGGCGAGCGCACGTGCCCTATAGCGAAAATCTCTCCAAAAAAAAAGAAGAAGAAGAAGGAAAAAAGAAAATGGCCCTTGGAGAGAGAAGTCCCATACTCATAAGGGGAATTGAAGGAGAGAGACCAAGAGGGAGTTCGTGTAGGAATCCGTAACTCCCACACACCCCAACAGCTGCAAGGGTCTTGTCACTTCATTTTTATCCATTTAAACTTCCATGAATTAAAAAAAAAATCTGGGAACTGGGCCAGCGGTGGCATGGAGGTTAAGGCACTGGGTCCCACACGGCCGGCTCCACGGTGGAGTCCCAGACTCAGTGGCTTGAGAGTCATGATGGGCATGCGTGCATGTCCAAATCCCGAGAGAAGAGTAGGGAAGAGATTGGGGTGTGGCCATCCCCTGGGGGTGATTTCTTACTTCCTCCCTCTCTGGCACATGCACATGCCCTATAGCAAACACTTAAAAAAAAAAAAAAAAAAAAAGGCTGGGAACCTTACATTTAAACTCCTTCCATCTTACAGATGCACAATCAAGTCCCCGGAGGGGAAATAACTTTCTCAAGAGAACAGAGCTGGTGAGCAGGAAAGACCAGACCAGGGTCTTCTGCCCAACATATCCTCTCTGGGTCTCTGGGGCCAAAAGAGCCTCGTCCTGCTGCATCCTGCCCTGATCCCTTCCCCAAGGATATGAGTGACTGCTGCAGATCTGGGAGGAGGCATTTCAAAAAGAGAATTCCTGCTCTGTGACCACCCCACCCCAAAGCCATGAGATGCTACATAAACTACATAGTCTCTGAGACTGCACTGGCACAGTGCGGGGACAGAGCCGAATCCCTTTCCCCATCACAAAAATGGTCTGAGCGTCTGCGGTGTAAGAGGGGCCGATGCACAGAGGAAGACGAAGTCTGGCCCACCACCTCCTGGACGGGACACCCCGCCCAGCCCATACCCACGACGTAGAGCGGGGCCTCCGTGTGCTTGATGTTGCAGCTGTTGCCCGCGATGCAGGTGTAGTGGCCCGAGTCCTCGGGGGCCACGTCGTGGATCACCAGGGAGCCGTTCTGGAAGATGTGCATCCTGCCGGGAAGACGCCACAGCGCTGCCTCCCCAGCAGGCTCCGAGGGGGCAGGCGGTGGGGCTGTGGGAAGGGCAGTCCTACCTGGGTCCCAGCTTGGAGGGGTCCAGGATGCGGTCCTTGCCCTTCCACTGGATGAGTGGCTTGGGGTCCCCCTGGGCCTCGCAGCGCAGCAGGGCGGTGTGGCCCTGGTACACAGTCGTGCGCTCCGGCTCCACCTTGAAGGTGATGAACACTGGAGGGGGAGAGATGCGAGGGCCAGGAGTGGTGAGCAGCGGCTGGCAGGGCAGGTTGCTGCCCCACTGGCTCCGGGCCCTGCCGCGGCCACACCTGCCACAGTGAGCTGGACGTGGGCACGGATCTGGCCCTGCGGTCCGTTGGAGGCAATGCAGGTATAGTTGCCAGCGTCGTCTCGGGTCACCCGGGCAAAGTGCAAGGTCCCAGCGTTGTCTGTCACCCACTCTGGGAGGCTGCTCCCATCTGCAGGGGGCACGAAAGGGAAATGAGTTTCATACACATGGTTACTCACTTTATTCAAATGCATGCCATTGCTCCTGACTTGCCACAGGCAAAGTCCATCCTGCAGAGCCAGGTGACGAAAGTCCCTGCTGTTTACACCCTTCCCGAGTGTGCAGTCTCATCTCCTTCCACTGCCCTACAGAACACTCCACCCCAGTCCAACTGCAGTGCTGACTGGGCGCAGACTGGCCTTGCCTCATCCTCACTGCCATCACTCCTCACTCCTAGACCCCATTCTGCTCTCGGCCACTATCCATCCAACACCCCGTTTTAGGCCCACGTCTCCCAGAGTTCCTGAGCAGGGGAGCCTGCTTCATCCTCAGAAACTATGCCTCCACTCTCTCTCTCTCATGGTTGGTGGGAATTTAAAAACTGGTCCAACTGTTTAAAATTTGGCAACCTATATCAAGGGTTATAAGAATGTTTGTACATTTAAGGAAACAGCAGTTGGCATAATCGCTATGTCGCTGACTCCCATGTAGTCGACCACGGTTCAAGTCCTGGACCTGGTGGCTTAAATTCACGACAGGTACATGTGTGTGTGTGTGCCCGGGATCCCGAGAGGAGAATGGAGGAGAAGGGACTGCAGCATAGCCATCTTCCCTGGGGGGTGATTTCTTGCTTTCTGTCTTTGTCTCTCTCTTTCTGGTGAGCACACGCGCCTTACAACAAAAAAATCTCTCAAAAAAAAAAAAATGTTCACAAACTTTTATACCTAATTATTTCATTTCTGGGAACCATTCCCAAAGGAACTACACCTAAGTCCAGGAACAAAAACCTTTGGCTTAGAGATGTTTAAGCAGGGGCCAGTAGGTGGCGTGGTGGTTGAGGCACTGGACTCCCACATGGCCGACTATAGTTTCAGTCCTGGACCTAGCAGCTTGCTTTCTCACTTTCCCTCCCTCTCTCCCTCTCTCTTGTCAAATTAAAAATATAATGATAATAAATAAAATTAAATAAGTAATGATCTTTAAAAAGAAAGAAAAGAAAAAGAAAGGATGTTTATTGCAGCAATAAAAAAGAAAGGAGGTGACTGGCCTTGCAGCCCAAGTGGTTAAGGGAGCTGGATCCTACATGGCCAGCTGTGAGTCAGACTCCAGCCCTGGCAGCCTGACAAACACTCCGGGCTTATGTGTGTGCGTGCCAAAATCCCGACAGGGTGGAGAGACGGAGAAAGAACTGCATGACCACAGACTACTGAGGGGTACCTTCTCTTCCTCACCACCCCCCATCTCTCTGCCACTCTCTGGTGCATGCACTTGTACTAAGGCAATTAAAACAAACGAAATAACAACAACAGAAAACGAAACTAAAAAGGGAGAGAGGTGGTGGTTAACCATCCAAGTCTCCAATATTCACGGAACAGCTAAGTAACGTTCGGTGAGTCTAGTCACTGGAATGTTACAGAAGTTACCAAATCAACCAGTATTTGTTTGAGATTTATGCAGAGAACATAAAGAGACGAAGAAATGTTTGATAACACTAAGTAAAAAGGGATTATAAAGTTACATATGGGGGGGCCAGCAGGTGGCGTGATGGTTAGGGCACTGGACTCCCACCTGGCCAACCGTGGTTTGAATCTCTTGCCCTCTGTCTCTCTCCAGCGAGTGCACATACCCCATAACAAAAACTAGAAAAGAAAAACAAAACACATACTGCATAGAAAATGAAGGCGGAGGGACACGCCAGCAGATGGCGGAATGGTTATATCACTGGACTCCCACATAGCCGGCCCAGTTCAAGTCCCAGACCCAGCGGTTCAAAACACACCAGGCATGGGACCAGCAGTTAAGGTAATGGCTATGTCGCTGGACTCCCATGTAGTCGACCACGGTTCAAGACCCAGACCTGGCGTAAATTCGCACTGGGAACGTGTGCGTGCATGCCCAAGATCCCAAGAGGAGAATGGAGGAGAAAGGATTGCGGCATGGCCATCCCCTCTGGGGGTGATTTCTTGCTTTCTGTCTCTCTGTCTCTTTGGCAAGTGCACGCACCCTATAGCAAAAACCTCTCAAAGAAAAAAAAAAACAAAAAACAAAAAACAAAAAACCCACACCAGGCACATGTGCATGAGCACCCAAAATCCAGAGAAGAGAATGGAGGAAAAGGGACTGCAGTGTGGCCATCACCCTTGGGAGAGGGGGGGAGTGATTTCTCACTTTTCTGTCTCTCTGGTGAGTGTACACACCTTATAGCAAACATCTTTCTTTAAAAAAAAAAAAAAAAAGAAGAGGAAGAAGAAAAAGGACCAAGCAGATGGCACGGAGGTTATGGAAGCTGGATACAACATGGCCAACCGTGCAGTTGAGTCCCAGACTCAGCGGCTTAAAAACTCTGGGTACGTGTACAAGCATGCCCAAAATCCCAAGAGGAGAATGAAGAAGGGACTACAGCATGGCCATCCCCATAAAGGGTGATTTCTCACTCGCTTTCTTTCTCTGTCTCTGGTGAGCACATGCACCCTACAGCAAACTAAAATAAAGAAGAAAGAAAGAAAGAAAGAAAGAAAGAAAGAAAGAAAGAAAGAAAGAAAGAAAGAAAGAAAGAAAGAGAGAGAGAAAGAAAGAAGAGATACACATCCAAAGATAGATGATGGCTGGTGGGATTATGCACTTATTTCCTTTTTGGGGCCAGAGAGCACATGCACTCACCAGAGACTAGCACATACACTTGCCAAAGACTGCGAGAGAGGAAGAGGGGGAAAGTAACTCCCACTGCGACAATCCCTTCCCATTTCTCCAGCAGTGGGAATTTTACACACACACACGTCTAATGTGTTTTTCGTCACCAGGGCTGGGATTTGAATAGTGATGAGTCATATGGGACCCTTCTCCCTACCATTAGGGCACAGGGCTTGACCTCCCCATGGATCTTCTTTTCTTTTCTTTTCTTTTCTTTTCTAAGAGAGATTTTTGCTATAGGGCACATGTACTCACCAGAGAGACAGAAAGCAAGAAATCACCCCCCAGGGGAGATGGCCATGCCACAATCCCTTCTCCTCCATTCTTCTCTTGGGATCTTGGGCACGCAGCGACATAGCCATCCTAGTGTGAGTTTTAAGCGCCAGGTCTGGGATTTGAACTGTGGTCATCTATGTGGGAGTCCAGCGACATAGCCATTATGCCAACTGCTGGTCCTTTCTCATGGATTTTCTGAAGGACTCCAGGTTACTCTATTTTTTTCCTCCCCAAAGAATTATTTATTTAATTTTATTTATTTAGCATTATCATCATTATTAAATTTCCCT